TAGGCCTTTGGTAATGAGGTGCATCTTCCGGCCTTGAGTGGAATTCAAAATTTTCTCACTCCTTTCAAATTTCTACTTGTTTAAAAAAATTGGAAGTATTATATATAGGGATGATTGTATATTATTTTTTATTTTAAAAAATAATTAGAGTTTTAATTTATATTAAAAATTAAAATTTTATTTTATTAAATGTTAATATTTAGATTTAAAAATTAATTAAATTAAATTAAATTTAAATATTAATATTTAATAAAATAATTTTTAAAATTTTCAATTAAATTTTAATTAAAAAAATACTTTACATCTAGATATATTAAATATAATTTATATAAGTCATTACATTAGTTATATATAATTTTTATTTATATAATTAATATTCCATTAGACCAATTGTTGAATCTATTTTATTTATGTAAATATGTTCCAAATTTAAAATTAATTTGATATATGTAACTTTATAAAGAAAATAAACTATATTTTTATACTATTTATTTAATGATTTTAAATTATTTGCTATTAAAAAATAATTAAATATATTTAATTAATATAAATTTTGACATGAATATTATAAATGGTACGTGCATAAAATTAATGATTGATGTAAAAATTAATATAAATTATATAATATAAATTGATAAATGACGCACCTTACCCTTCGGGTCACCTTAAAGATGCAATCCCCCCTCCCCTGATGGGTTCGAAGTTTGAATCTCACCCTTGCCACTTTATTCAAAAAAATATTCAAAAAAAAAATTTTTGATAAATGACACAAAAAATTTTAAAATTTTGTCCTTCTAACATAAATTCTTGACTCCATCCTTGGTAGCATGATAGTATTATTATAGTATTGACTATTTGGTTTAATTAATTTAAAGTTTACATCAAAAGGTTGACATTAGAAAAATATTGTTTAATTTCTTAATTGGAACAAGTTGCATCCAAGTAAAAGTGCAAATAATATGTTTTTTATAGGTTTAGTCAATAAGACAAGCAATAGGATAGTATAGATTAAAGTATATATTAATATTGTTTGGTGTAAGCTTCTACTATATTATTACAATAAAAAAAGTAAAAATCAAAATGTCATGGTCAGTGTTGTAAAAAGCAGGGCTTAGGTAATGCCTAGGTATTACCAAGACTTTAGGTAATGTCATTCTGCTTGCGTCAACTTCTAAGTAAAAATAAAAAATAAAAAACAAAAAACAAGAACTAGGTGGATTTCATAGATACTACGACCAATTGAGGTTCTAAACCTTAATTCAAAAATATATTAACGTTTAATTAAACATTAATTAGTT